GTCATAGCACGTTTGCTATGAACAAAGCGACAAAAAATATCCACGATTAACGGCTGTAAAAAGAGAAAGCAATAATTCTTTATTGTCCCTTGCATTCTGGTTTTCAGCTCTAAGCTGAATCACAGTTTGGTGATGTTCAGGACCAGATAAAGTAAAGCACATGTACATCAATGGCGCATCGACCTGCAGTCCTTGAACTATCGCATGCTTTTTACCCGCATCCCCTCGACACCTCGGACATATGCTAAGCTGTTTCTAGCCGAGGATTCATTGACGTGCTTTTTTCTTTTCAGTTGGACATTCATTCTGAAACCAGCAACAGAGTACCTTAAAATGGCTGATTGGTTGACAAATCCAAGACATACGTTTGTTCCTGATTAAAGGCTTTGCCTGAGATGCACTCATACGAGGCTTTATAGAAGCAAATATAATGCATTTCCTGTCATTTCCCTCGATCAGATGATATGCAGCATCTTACAGGGGAGAGACGCACCAAGACTTTGGCCAGGCTTTTTTTTAATAGCTAATTTAATAGATGATCCATCAAAAGTAGTTTAGAGTTTCAGGTCGTTGAGAGTTGACTGATGGCTTTGCTTGGAGTTTAAAAGCTCTTAGAGATGTGCTGGGTTTGTCTTACCTTTACTTTAACTCTCACTGCCAACTTAATTTGGGGTAGGAAAACATTAACCTGCTGCTGCAAGGAAGCTAAAGTACGGGAGGACCATGCTAATGTTAACCAAACAGCAGTTGTACACCTTGAAGTCACAAGGTTTTATTTTATTTTGTTTGTGTTTGGTGACCCTGGTATGGTGACCATGACAATGACAAAATTGGGGTTTTGTACACCCCTTGTGCACTGAGTCCAGATAAAGGAAAAGCTAAACAGTCGACTTGTGGTCCTGTGCTTTCGGGACTTCCGTATTTTTATGCACCTTTCACAGGCTCAGCAACTTGGAGATGCCCCGTCTGCTTCAGTATAAGCACATAGCCATTTGACAGGATTTGTAGGTATTTTGTAAAGAATCGTACAAATGTAGGTAATTCCGTCAGCATAAATACTCCTAATAAAATTAAACATTCCTCTAATAAACTTCTAATAAACACTCCTCAGATACAAAAACTGGATAGTGGAAGCAAAGACATTTCTGAATAAAACACGCCTGCAGTCTTCTGCCCAGTCACACAACACATCGCACAGAGGCCTGAGCGAAGCAGCTCGGCCTTCGCCCAGCGTCCAGAAGGGGGATGCAGTTTTTGTCTCGCGACTAAGTCGATGAGAGCTCATTTTGACACTTTGTACTGGAGGTCATTTAATCAGATTACGTTCTTCCATCATCTAAAGTCCTGTGTCGGATTTACTGATCGTTTGCTCTCGTACGCTGTAAACAGAATGACTGCTCTCACTCTAAAACTAGAAGCCGAGTGGCTCGAATGAGTCGTGGTGTGCCACAGGCATCAGTCCTTGGTCCCCTCCTGTTTTCCAGTTACATGCTACCTCTTGTTTTTTTGAGTCCTAGCCACAAAGTTCTTACCTCCACCAGTTAAATATATTCAGGTGCTTTTAGTGATAAATTATATCCTTGACTTCTATTTTAACAATGTTAAGATAGAACGGTTTTATTATCTGTCTAAAGCCCTTCTGTGGATAGACAATCTTAATCGCTTTTTGAGCATTCCTGATTTCTTGACTGATCTGTTTTCAGTTAAGTATCAGTTTTTCCTCTCTGTTCTACATTTTTATTGTCTCTTTTGTTCCACATTTCTGGCTCTAAAGCATTTTCTCCTGTTGTGCACCCCTTGTTATTTTTCTCCCAGTCTACCTTGATTTTTTTTCAGTCTCTTATCAGATCTTGCCTGCTCCTACCATACTCACGCACACAGCTATTTCTCTCTGTCTCCTCTCTTGGCCTCTGCTGGAAAAACGCCAGTACTTTTTCCCATAACTGGTCTCCTCTCACGGTTTCACCTTTTTTTTCCTCCTTCCCTCCAACATCATCAGCCCAATACGCAGCTTATCGCATCTGGGATCAGCAAACCAGTGTTACGACAGTTTATCTTTGCCCGTGGTGCAAGCGAAAGCCGTCCTGCGTTGGGTCTATTCCTGGCTTTTTGTTTTGAAACGAGCTCTAAACAATGCCTTCAGGACGCTTTCATGAAAACTCACCGATGTGGGAAACACAGACCCTGTGCTTGTCATGTGTGTGTGTCATGCAGAAAGGTGTTAGTTTTCATCCGTGTGTGTTTCTGTATCCTTATGTGCCTGCGCATAAAAAAAAAAAAAAAAGATGTTTACTCATTGCTGGCCTCGCTTTCTTTCAGTCAACAGTTATGCATTTCTAGGTTTTGCCCTTATTGCAAACACGAATCATGATACTGTATATATTATTGACGTACTGTAATATGCAAGTTTTCTGAATAAAAACCATAGTAATGTACCCCCTGGAATGCTGCTTATTGTTGCAAAAGCCGTGCGATTACCATGTTTTAAGTGCCCTTATTGTCATATTTTCAAACATAATGTCTCGGTAGAGTTAACATCTGTAAACACAGCAAAGATGGAGATTGTTGGAGAAAGTGCTTCCAGCTCAGGCCACATTTACCACGAGCCGTGTTCTTCAAAATGTAATGTTTGCATCTTGCTCAACTACAAATGTTTTTGTTCGCCTAGATAAACATCTAGGAACAGATTGCTGTGTTTTTTGTTTGTTTTTTTTTTCTGTGATTACGGCTGATTTGCTGACTTTTTTTAAATCTTTTTTTTTTTAAATAGAAAACAAGTATACTGGTTTAAATTTATTCCTTCTCCGACGCTCCCAACAGCTCAGACGTTGAAATACGACACTCGTTGTCGAGGCTGAACCTTAATCTTCCCCAACTGAGGAAACTTAAATTGTTGATACTTTTGTGCGAGTGTGAGGCTTTTTTTTGTTTTTGTTTGTCCTTTTAGCCGTGGTCTTACTCAGTATGAATGTTGTTTACAGTGGCTATAAAAGTATTCACCCCTTTGTTGCTTTACCAATTTTATCGCTTTGACAAATCAACAACAAAATTTTACACTCTCACATGCCTTTTTTTTAAACCTAATCGAGCCTTGATATGAATCCTCATCGACAGCAGCCTCCCTGTTGCCGCTCTCCCAACAAAGACAGTTCAGCAGTCGTCGTACACAGAATCTTAACACCTCGTAACTCCTTCAGCGTAGATAAGAGCAGAGGTGTCATGGCGTCCTCTCTTGTAAGTCTCCTTCTTACGCTGTCACTCGGTGTGTGAGGACGCCCTGATCTAGACAGATTTACACGTGGGCCATGTTCCTTCCACTTCTTGATGATGGATTTAAGTGAACTCCAGGGGATGTTCAGGGCCTTAGAGATGTTTTTGTGTCCATCCCGTGACTTATGGGGATCTTAGTGTTCTTTTTGCCTTCATGCCGTGATGGTAGCCAGGAATCCTGATTAACCAGTGAATGGACGGTCCAGACGCAGGTGTCTTCACACTACGACCACTGGAGACACAGTCACTGCACTCTGGTGATCTCCAGCCACTCGTCGTGAGGCTATTAGCACCAACTAGATGGACCTCTGTTGAATTAAGTTAGTCGCTTAAACCGAGGGAGCTCCTGGATAATTGTGCACTAATTTTCTATCAAAGTTGTCTCTTTTATATTAAAGGCTGTTTTATTGATCAAGATAGGTTTACAAAAGCAGTAAAAAGGGTAAAACGTCCAAGGGGGTTAATACTTCCTGTTGGGTTAGCGTCAGCTTGCCTGGCACAAGTGGGTATTGCGTGCAGAGCCGCGGTTCATCTCTCAGGACAATGGCAGCTGCATCGGTTCAATGACAGGGTCAGAAACAGTGTCTTTAATTCAAAGATTCCTTTCACTGTACTTCAAATAAGCCAGTGTCAAGGCTTATTCCTCATCCAGTTACCCAAATTGGTAGACTGAATATTTACTTTGGATCCAGTTTTTGCAATGTCGAAATGTCTCCCTTCACTCGGTGAAGGAAAATGTGCTTTCCCCAATGTAGCTCTGATACACTACTGGACAAATGGACAGGAAGAGAGCCTGGAGGCCGGTGTTAACAACATCCTGTGACACTCCTGGTCTTCCTCCTAGAAACCAGTGGGTTAATGCAGTGCATTCTGGGATGAACCGTTTTTATACCAGTCTCTTTTGTTGCCTGTATGTAGTTCAGTCCTTCATTCCATCCTCACAACTTACCATTCACTAGATGTTTTCTCTTTCTTTGGATCGTTCTCTATGAACCTCAAAATGGTTATGCATGAAAATCCGAGTAGATCATCAGTTTCTAAAATAGTGAGACGATTCCTTCTGGCTCCAACGTAAACGTTCAAAGTGTCTCGAATCCTCCGTCTTCCCCAGTCAGCTGCTCAGTTTGAACAAAAGCAATTTGTCTCCTTCACGTCTGGAAGTCTGGTTGCTCATGTGATTGACTGATTCGTGGCAATCAACAGCTTTGGTTGTCATGAAATGGTGGTCGTTTCCATTGAGCCGGGGCCATTATGAAATGAGGGTATTGTTGGAAAAAGGTTCTTGAAAATGACTTTGACCACAAAAAAGCTTAATTAATTAAATCAACACTCTTGTCATCTTCTAGGATAAGAGTGACATTGAAATAAAACATCGCCGTTGCTTGATTAAGACAATGCCTTACACCAGCTTTATATGCGATTAACACCGTGTGATGTCTTTCGAAGAATAACACGTATTGATAATATATATATAAATATATATATATGACTTCTGGTCTTTAGTAATTCAAGAAACAGTGCTGGTCTTCATCTGATCTGATGGATTTTTCTTCTTTTTTTGTTTTTTTGTTGGTGCTCCGTCTGTGGAAGGACAGAAAGCAAAGACGTACTGAACCGGCTGACCCGAGCTTGTGTTTCTGTTTCCCCCCCTGCAGTCCTGAACGGGCCTCCCATGTCTGTAAAGAAGGAACGGGAAGCAGAACTGCTGGTGAACCGACGGGAGCAGCGCA